GCTCTGTCCCTGTCCCACGCGAGGCTGACATGACGCAGAGTCACAGTGAGCTAGCGGCAGAGGCATCCGAAGACCCCGGACCAACCAGAACAAAGCCCCTGTGCTCTTCCTGGCACCAGCCGCCTCCAGGCACAGATGGTGGAAACACAAGGCAACAAGCGGATGGAAAGTGAAAGCAGGAGAGGCTTCCTGGAAGAGGTGCCACTTGGGTTGGCTGTTCCAAAATGAGTAGGATTATTGGCAGGGGAAATTTTAAAAGGGGAGAGAGGGTGAATAGGTCAACTTATTTTAAGCACCTGTTAAGTGCTCCAGCAGTTCTGTGCACTGCCTTCATGTGCGTTATTCGGTTTGACACCTTCTGAGTAGACATGACCCCCCCGCCACTTACAGAGGTCCACGCTGAGGGCCAGCAAGGTAAGTGACTTGGCCAAGATTTCAGAACCACTAAGGGCAGAGCCGGGCCCTGTGGATGCAAAGCCTGTGGTCTTCCCTCCGAATCCTGCTGACCTAGAAGTTAATGAGCCGGAAGAGGAAGTCCTCGACTGGGGCATCCACACACCTGGCCCCCAGCCCCAGCTGAGCCACTGACCTGCTGTGTGATTTGAGCAAGTCCCCTTGCTCCTCTGGGCCTCCACGCCCCCCTCAGACGCCTGAAATGAAAGTTTAGTCCGGGACTCACGCACTCCATGTCTGATAGCCTAGAGGTGCCAAAGCTGACACGCTCACAGCCCAGGTCAGACGCCCAAGAGAAGTGGGGACAGGTGAGTGGGCAGCCGTGGAGGTCACTGGGCTGGGGGGGAAGGGTGCATGTCTCTGCTTCTGTTCTGCTCTGTCAGCCTCTCTCTGCCTGACCTTGGCCTCCAAGACCCGGGGTCTCCCTCATTATCCAGAATCCTAGGACACCCCCACCTTGTGATGTATTAAAAGGTAAATATTTGGGTTTTGTCCCTAGTTCCTGGCACACAGCTCCTAAAACCCTCAGGCTCTTAGTCTGCGCACTAACAAGGATGGCAGGTGGCTGGGCCCCCCAGAGCTGCAGGGCGGGGGCTGCTCACCCAAAGACCAAGGCAGGATGTCCAGAAAGAGGGGTTGGAGGCTAAGTTAATCCCCAAGGCCAATGTCTTAATCTCACCTACGAAATGGAACCTCCATAAAGCCCCTAAATGACAGGGTTCAGAGAGTTTCCGTGCTGTGAGCACATGGGGATGTTGGACCGCCCCCTCCCCACACCCTGCCCTCTGCACCCCTTCCTGCCTGCTCCTGACTTGTATCCTCGATAATAAGCCGCTGAGGACAACGTTGTCCTGTGTCCTCTGGGTCCTTCTAGCAAATAATCACAAATAACAAATCTGAAAAGGGGTCGGAGGGGGGGAACCTCTGAATTTGTCACTGAATCGGGCAGATGGGAGGGTGACCTGGGCACCCCGTGTGCACCTGACACCGGAGGGGGGCAGTCTTGTGGGGCTGAGCCCTAAGCCCGCGGAGCCTGCGCTAACCCGGGCTTACCTCCCACCGTCCAGGGCCATGGGGTCCCTCATGGAGGGCTCAGATCCCCCCGACACAGGAGCAAACCGAGGCTCAGAGGAAGGAACCGGCCGCAGGAGAAGGCTGCGTGCAGACAAGCGGACGCTCTGTCAAATCAAGGCATCTCCAGAAACTGTTAGGCAACAGGGATCCATTGCTCACGTCTCTCCTTTCAACAAAAGAGGAAGAAAGCCTGTGCCGTGTCCACAGAGGCCTGGCTCTGTGGCCATGGGGTGGGGGCCATTCCGCTTTCTGGCCGGACGTCTCCTAGCTGACTGTGGGCAAGCAGACGACCCCGGGGCCAGGAACGCACACGTGACGTGGCAGGATGGGCAGGGGGCTCGGGAAGACTGCCACCCGGGAGAGGCTGGGGGTGGCTCCCTGGCCCGGCTGGAGCAGTTCAGTAAGGAGCTGCCCTGCTGACTCAGGGGACCCCACCCTTCTGGAGCGCCCTGCCTGCCCGACGCCCACCTGCCCGGAGAGTCCACACCCGGGCTGGAAAGGCACTGGGTGTCGTGGGTCTGCGCCCCGTCCCCTGCCCACCTGCGGAGGTGGCCCCTCCCCTGTCCCCGGCACACCCAGCCTGGGGTCCTCTGCATGACCGGCTCTTCTCCGTGGACGGTGTCCCGCGGCCAAGAGGCGCCTGATGGGGCCTGGGAGCGCTTGGCTCTGAGCTCAGCCCACTTCCCAGCACCATCGAGGCTCAGGCTGTGGGACCCTGAGGAGCAGAGAAGGGTGAGTGTCTCTGGCTGGCTGCACCCCGCTCCAGCGTCCCCACAGAGCCTGGGCTCGTCTGCGTCTCCCGGCCCCTCCGGGCTCCTCCCTCCCACAGCCCTTCCTCCCTCTCCTGCCCCTCCCTTCTCCTAACCGCAGGGGCCCTGGGGTCTACACCAGGGAAGAAGAATCTACCAGGTGCAGGGGAATGATCCGGGTGGGGGTCTCGCCCTGGGCCAGGGGAGGGGCAAAGGTGAAGGGAGACCCTGTCCTCTGCCTGCTTGACGCCCCTCTGCATCCACCTCCAGCCCGGCCCGCCATGCACATCCCCAAGGTCCCTCAGCAGGGCAGGGGTGGCCAACGGAGCCCCGTGGCGGCTGGCCTGGTACCTAGGCGTGATGGGGAAGGATGAACTGAAGGAGTTCCAGCTTCGGCTGCCTGAGAAGCCGCTCTGCAAGCCCTCTCCCGGCGCCACCCTGGCTCAGCTGCAGAAGGCAGATGGCATGGAGGTGGCCTCAGGCCTGGTGGCTCAGTATGGGGAGCAGCCGGCCTGGGACCTGGCCCTCCGCACCTGGGAGCAGATGGGCCTGAGCCGGCTGTGCGCCCAGGCCGGGCCGAGGCGGCCTTCATGCCAGGTGAGCGCAAAACCCCCTCTGTCCACTGGCCATCGCCTGGCCCCGGAGCCCCTGGGGACCCCCACCCCGGAGCCCCCCCAGGCCTTCCTCTGGGCAGCGACTCGGGACCCCTCTCCTCGCCAAGTGCGTTTCCAGGCCGCCCTGTGGTTCCCATGGGGCCTGGGGGTAGGGGCTGACGTCGGGACGGGCGGGGGAGGAGGCGCAGGCACGTGCGAGGCGCACAGTTCCAGGCGCCTGCCTGGTCTGCGTCGGGGGCGCGGACTCGGGAGCCCGGCAGCTGGAGGCGCCACGTCGTCCGGCAAGCCCCTTCGTGCCTCTCGGCCTCTGTTCAGACTATGCGAGCTTTAACGAAATAATCCGTGGGAAACATTTAGCACACAGCCTGACACCTAGTGAGTGCTCCATAAATCCGGTTTCCGGGACGCGCGCGCGTCCCTGGCCTCTCCCGGTGGAGAGAGCAGAGCGGCTTCATGCGCAGAACCCCGGCCTCAGTCCCCAGGTCCTGCCCGGCCCGGCCCCAAGCCCCACCTCTTTGTCTGCCCCCCGCAGCCCATTGCCCCCCACTCCCCTGCTCCCAGAGTGCACCCAGCGTGCAATCCCCCAGCGGGCTCACCTCCACCGACGTGCAGAGGTTCGTCCAGGCCGCAGAGACGGGGTGTTGGAGACAGCCACCGGACACATCTGGACACACGCGGAACCGTAAGGCTGGCCGTGCCGGCCCCGGGGCCCCCCGCGGATTCCACCCAGGTGAGCCTGGGGCTGCATGGGGCTCTGGGTGGAGGAAAAGGGCAAGGAAGAGGGATGGAGGAGCCAGGCTGGGGTGGTGGAGGCAGGCGGCCTGGAAGTGATCTTCTGGAAGGTTCCAGCACTGCGGTGACACCCCGTCCGAAGTGAAAGATGCAGACAGGAGAGCCAGGCGGGGCGGGCGGCAGGTCTTACCACGCCGGGTGCCACATGGAACACCGCCCTTGCGCTGGCAGAGCTCACCGGGTTATCTTGGCGGGCTCCGAAGACCCTCAGGGCCAGGGCAGTCCAGAAAGTTCCAAGGTGGACTCTGATGAGCCCCACGAGGAGGGCAGGCTCATTCCTCGGTGCTGCGTAGTTCCCTCTCCTGACTTCTCTTATTTCAGCCTTCACCACCCTGAGTCACCCAGGCCGAAGATCCTTTTTTTTTTTTTTTCAAGATTTATTTTGAGAAGGAGAGGGGAGCAGAGGGAAAGAATCTCGAGCAGACTCTGCGCTCAGCACGGAGCCCAACGTGGGGCTCGATCTAACAACCCTGAGATCATGAGCTGAAATCAGGAGTCAGATGCTCAACCGACTGTACCACCTAGGGGCCCCTACCCAGGCCACAGATCTTAATGACACCCTGCCTCTTTCTCTTGTCAAATCTGGGTTCTGCGTGGCCACCTCGGCCCGGTGTGGAAGCACTGGGCCACGCTCAGGCAGCACTTGCAGACAGAGCCAGGGCTGGAACCTGGAACCAGCCATTCCTGCTACCGCTCTGTGGAAGTCCCCGCTGCTGATCTCGCAGCCCCTCTGCTTTCCCTCCGCCTGGTGCCCAGCACCCCTCTCCGCTCCCAAGCTCGAACTCCACTGCCCTCATTCCCCTGACCTCACCTGCTTTCTGTGTGACTGAAGCAAGTCACTTCATCCCCCGGCCCCGCCGTGTCCCTGCTCCCCCAGCTGAGCCTTCACGCTCCACAGTCTCCCCTCCAGCCCCACCCCCCAGTACAGAATGGGCACGTCTGTGACCCACACCAAAGAGTCCATTTGCACAGAAGTGTGAGTGTGCGGTGCAGTTCTACTGACATACTATGCGGGAGAGGGTTAGACCGGTCACATGTCCCCCCACAAAGGCCCCCTGGTGCCCCCACCTGCATCTGTCTCCCTGCGACCCCCCCCATGCAGCATCCGGCCCCACTGCTTCTGCCCCATGATGACCATGATGCAGAGCGATGCTGCCCTGTCCCAACTTGCCCCAGGGTTTAGACGCCGCCTGGTAACTACTTGTCCTAGAAAGGAGGCGCCCGACCTGGCCAAGTGGCTTGTCAGCATCTTCTAGCTAATAGACGTTCTCGCCGAAAGGAAGTTCCAGGCCGGCTACTAAGAGAATAAAACTGGGCCTCTATTTTTATGATTCTTTTTGGCGATAGTTTTATCGAGATAGAATTCACTCATTTAAAGCATCCAACTCAGTGATTTGCCGCCATCAATGTTAGAGGATTTTAATCATCCTCTAAAAAAAACAACACCTTACTGACTCCCGAGAGAATGAAAACATACCTTCACACGAAAACGTGTGCGTGAATTTTCATGATGAAAATTCATTGTACCGTTACTCATAAAAGGCAAAAAGCATCAACAACCCAAATGTACATCAACTAATGGATCAACAATATACAGTCTCTACAGACACAGAAATCATTTTCCAATGAAAGGATGAAGTCCTGATATAAGCCATAACATGGATAACCCTTGAACACATGATAAGTCAAAGAAGCCAGTAAAAAAATGACCATATAGCATGAAATTCAATTTATAGGGGATGTCCAGGACGGGCAAATCTAGAAAGGCAGAAAGTAGGTTCATGGTTGGCTACAGTAGGAAATAGTAGGCGACCTCGAAAGGGTAAGGTGGGTTCTTTTTCATCTTTATGGTTTTAAATCTGGGATTAACAACACACATCCCAAAGGAGTGTAGTGAGAGCTCAGAACGGAGGGGCCTGACATACAAGGGATGCTCAGTATTTGGCAGTTTCATTCCTGTCTTTCCCCTCAGGAGACTCTTCCTTGACCTTTTACCAAGCCCTTCCAAGCTCCCCAGACCAAGAATTGCCACTCCAGGAGTCACCCAGTGCTCCCACGTCCACGGCGGTCCTGGGGGACTGTGGGTCCCCACTGCAGCCCAGCCCCGAGCCCAGAAAGCAGGAGGCTCCCAGGGCTGGGTGGCCTCCAGTCGAAACATCTGGAAACCATAGCACAGGTGAGGCCCCTGCAGAGCTCCTGGAGAGGGGTGGATGGGGCTGAGGGACAGGTGGGGGCCAGATGGGCAGGCTGAGCACAGAGGGTATCAAGTGCATCAGAAACCCCTCTCCAGAACACCCCTGCTGGCTGGCTCCCTCCATCGGGCTAAGCCACCGTTTCTAGGCAGCCCCTAGAAATTACAATGCAGGTGCATTACCCAGTGCAGCAAACACATCAGGCTCTGTGCCCAGTGCCTCCCTTGCGCGGTATCCTTATCACCCCACCGTGGAGATGAGAGAAGCAGGGCTCAAAGATGTAAGATTGCGCAGTTCCTGGAGGCAGGGGTGGATTTCGGCCTCTGTGCTCTCCCTGACGCCAGACTCCACACCTTTAACCCCCAAATCGGGCTCCGTCTGCCATGTGGGCGACAAGACCAATCGCAGGCTCACGGGCTCCCCATGCCACCCAGGGTCTTAGCCACTGAGAAGCCATCCCCTTAGAACTGACCCTAATGCTCAGAGATGTGCCCTTGAAATCTGAGAGATGGTAAATGGAAAGGATTCTTTCCGCACCCAGGTAGGAGTAAACTTGTGGAATCCGTGGTCCTGAAATGTGTGTGGCCCAGGCTCAGAGCGTATTGATTGACTTAATAAGTTACACTGCTTGGAAGGAAGGAAGGAAGGAAGGAAGGAAGGAAGGAAGGAAGGAAGGAAGGAGAGAAAGAAAGGAGGGATTAGAGAAAGTTTTACAGAAACATACAAATGCAATAACCTTAAAATGAAGCAAGGATGAAAGCCACGAAGACTAATTACTTGCAAGTAATTAATTACTAATTGATTTTGAGCATCCTAGCAACCAAGGCAAAAAGGGAAATATAATAGGGTTACATAATACCTGTTATTCAAGAAAAGATCAAATCAAAAGAAACACTTTTTTTCCTGATTCTAAATTCTTTGTTTTTTCCAGCTTTATTAGGGTATAATTGGCAAATAGAATTGAATTTAAAGTGTGCAAAGGTTTGATAAACTAGTATTAACTACAGTCACCATGCTGTACATTAGACCCTCAGAACTTAGTCATTTTATAACTGGAAGCGTGTACCCGTTGACCAACCTCTCCCCATTTCCCACACCCCCAGCCCCTGGCCACCAGCATTTCACTCTCTGCTTCTATGTGTTTGACTTTTGGGTTTTTTTTTTTTTGTACTTTGTTTTTGTTTTTGTTTTTTACATTCTACATCTAAGTGATACTATATGTTTGTCTTTCTCTCTCTGGCTTATGTCACTTAGCATAATACCCTCCAAGCTCATCCATGTTGTCACAAATGGCAGAATTTTCTTCTTTTTTATGGCTGAATAATATTCCATTGTACATATGTGCCACATTTTCTTTATCCATTTATCAGCCAGAGGACACCTAGGCTGTTTCTATGTCTTGGCTGTTGTGAATAATGATGCAGTGAACATGGGGGTGTCAGTATCTCTTCAAGATACTGATTTTGTTTCCTTTGGATAAATACCCAGATGTGGAATTCCTGGATCATATAGTAGTTCTATTTTAAATTTTTTGAGGAAGCTCTGTACTGTTTTCCATAGTGGCTGCACCAACTTACATTCCCATCAACAGTGTGCACGGGTTCCCCTTCTCCACATCCTCACCAACACTTGTTATATCCTTTCTATTTGACGATAGCCTTTCCAGACAGATGTGAGGTGCTATTTGATGGGCATTTCCCTAATGATTAGTGGTGTTGAGCACCTCTTCATGTACCCGTTGGTCATTTTTACATCCTCATCGGAAAAACTATTCAGGTCCTTTGCTCGTTGTTTGTGTTTGGTTTTTTGGGGTTGTTGTTGTTGTTTTTGCTGTTGAGTTGTATGAGCTCTTTATATGTTTTATATTAACCCCTTACCTGATATATGGTTTACAAATATATTTCCGCCCTCCCATACGTTGCCTTTTCCTTTTGTTGATCATTTCATTTGCTGCGCAGAAGCATTCTCGTTTGATGTAGTCCCACTTTCATATTTTTGCTTTTGTTTCTTGTGCTTTTGGTGTCATATCCAAAAAATTATTGTCGAGATCAACATCAGGGACTTTTCCCCTATATTTTCTTCTATGAGTTTTATGGTTTCAGATCTTACAGTTAAGTTTTTAATCTGTTTTGCATTAATTTCTGTGAGTGTTGTAAGGTAGGAGTCCAGTTTCATTCTTTTGCACGTAGATATCCAGTTTTCCAACATCACTTTTTTTTGAAGAGATGATCTTCTCATTGAGTATCTTGGCTCCCTTGTCAAATATCATTGGCCATATATGCATGGGTTTATTTCTGGGCTTTCACTTCTGTTGTAACGATCTATGTGTCTGTTTTTATGCCAGTACCATACTGTTTTGATTACTATAGCTTTCTAACGTTTGAAATCAGGAACTGTGATGCCTCCGGCTTTGTTCTTTTTTTCTCAAGATTGCTTTGGCTATGAGCTTTTGTGATTTCATAAGAGTTTTAGGATTGCATTTTTCATGTGCATGAAAAATGCCATTGGAATTTTGATAGAGATTGCACTGAATCTGTAGATTGCTTTGGGTTATATGGACATTTTTACAAAATAAATTCCTCTAATCCAGGAACACAGAACATCTTTCCATTTATTTGTGTCTTCTTCTTTCTTTTTACCTTTTTAAAGAACTTTTTTTATTATGTGATGTTAGTCACCATACAATATATCATTAGTGTTTGATGTAGTGTTCCATGATTCATTGTTTGCATGTAACACCCAGTGCTCCACGCAGAACGTGCCCTCCTTAATACCCATCACCAGGTTAACCCACACCCCCACCCCTCCCCTCTGAAACCCTCAGTTTGTTTCTCAGAGTCGAGAGACTCTCATGGTTCATCTCTCCCTCCAATTCCCCCCCCTTCATTTTTCCCTTCCTTCTCCCAATGTCCTCCACACTATTCCTTATGTTCCGCAAATAAGTGAAACCATATGATAATTGTCTTTCTCTGCTTGACTTATTTCATTGAGCATAATCTCCTCCAGTTCCATCCATGTTGATGCAAATGTTAGTTATTCATCCTTTCTGATGGCTGAGTAATCTTCCATTGAATATATGGACCACATCTTTTCCATTCATCTGTTGAAGGGCATCTAGGCTCCTTCAATTTCTTTTATCAGTATGTTATAGTTTTCTGTGTAGAGGCTTTTCACCTCCTTGGTTAAATTTATCCCTAAGTGTTTTATTGTTTTTGATGCAAAATAAATGTCTCTTTCAGATAGTTCATTGTTAGTGTATAGAAATGCAATTGATGTTTCTATGTTGATTATGTATCCTGCAAGTTTACTGAGTCCTTTTATCAATTCTAGCAGGTTTTGGTGGAGTCTTTAGGGTTTTCTATCTGTAAGATCATGCCACCTGCAAACAGAAACAATTTTACTTCTTTCTTAATGATTTGGATCCCTTTTATTTTTTTGCTTGCCTAATTGCTCTGACTGGGACTTCCAGTACCATGTTAAAACGAAGTGGTGAGAGGGGCCCCTGGGTGGCTCAGTCGGTTAAGCATATGACCCTTAATTTCAGCTCAGGTCAAGATCTGAGGGTTGGGAGATCAAGCCCCATATCAGGTTCTGTGCTTCAGCAGGGAGTCTGCTTGAGATTCTCTCTCCCTCTCAGACCTCTGCCCCCCAAAATAAATAAATGTCTTTAAAAAAAACAGTGGTGAGAGTGGGTACCCTTGTCTTGTTCTTGATCTTGGAGGAAAAGGTTTGGCCTTTCAGCATTGAATGTGATGTTAGCTGTGAGTTTCTCATATATGGCCTCTGCCCTACTGAGTATGTTCCTTCTATACCCAATTTGTTGAAAGTTTTTATCATGGAAAAAAAGCTGATTTTTGACAAGTGCTTTTTCTGCATCTACTGAGATGATCACATAATTTTTATACTTGATTCTATTAAGGTGGTATATCACATTTATTGATTTGCCTGTGTTGATCCCTCTTTGCATCCCAGACATAAACCCCACTTGGTCATGTTATATGATCCTTTAATGTGCTGTTGAATTTGGTATGCTAGTGTTTTGTCGAGCATTTTTGCATGTATGTTCATCGGGGACATTGGACTATAATTTTCTCTTTTTGTAGAGTTCTTGCCTGACTTTCTTATCAGGGCAAAACTGGCCTCATAACATGACTTGGGAAGTGGCTACTTACTCTTCCAATTTTCCCAGTTTCCTCCTGTTAGCAATTTCTAATTTCATATCATTGTGGTTGGAAAAAATACTTGACATGATTTCAGTTTCTCAGACCTGTTGAAGCTTATTATATGATTTGTGGAGAACATTCTATGTGCGTTTGAGAAGAACATGCCTTCTGCTGCTATTGGATGGAAGGTTCTGTATGTCTAACACATATGTTCTGTTTGGTCTAACATGTGGTTCATGTCCAGTATTTCCTTACTGATGTTGTGTCTGGACCACCTCTCCATTGTTGAAAGTGGGGTATTAGAAGTCCGCTCCTATTATTGTGTTGCTATCTATTCCTGCCTACAGATCTGTTATTATTTGCTTGACAAATTTAGGTATTAGAACATCCTGATGAATTGACCCCTTTGTTATTATATAATTACCTTCCTCTTCTCTTGTTACATGTTTTGACTTAAAGTCTATTCTGTTTAATATAAGTATAGCTACTTCTGCTCTTGTTTGGTTTCCATTTGCTTGGAATACCTTTTTCTGTCCCTTCACTCTAGCCTAAGTGTGTCCTGAAAGCTGAAATGAGACTCTTTTAGACAGCATGTAGTTGGGTCCTGGTTTTGGATTTTTGTTTTTTGTTTTTTTGTTTTTTAACCCATTCAGACATTCTGTGTCTTTTGATGGGAGAATTTAATCCATTTACATTTAAAGTAATTTCGACAGGTAAGGACTTACTATTGACATCTTGTTTATTGTTTTCTGGCTGCTTTGCTGTTCCTTTATTCTTTTCATATTCTCTTGCTGTCTTCCTTGGTGATTTGATGATTTTCT